ATATATATATATATATATATATATATATATATATATATATATATATATATATATATATATATATATATATATATATATACACACACACACACACACACACACGTGTGTACATATGTGTATATATTTTTCAAATTAAATTGCTATTTATTAGAACAAAACTCAAAACTGTACTGTGAATATGTATTTTTAACGTCTTGTCATATGAACCAGTCAGTAACGGGATAATTTGTGATTTATTTATTTATTTGTGATTTACTATTATATGCCCTTTTCTTCTGTATTGTTCCGTATTGCAACAAGTGAAACAGAAGATCAAGTTATGAAGCTTTGTCTTAAAATTTTTGAATGTTCATCAAAAACTTACTGAATGGATTCAGAAAACTAGAATACAAAACAGGGGAATACAAATGTTGTGTGGACCACTTTCATGGTGATTTTTTTCACTTTCATTATATGGACAAAAAAGTTTTACTTTTGTAATTCATGGAAGAAAGAAAGGTATATAGGTTTGTAACAGAATGTCTGGGTTATTTATTCCTAAAGGTTAGTTTCAGTAACCTTTGAAATGTACATTTTCAATATTGGTTTTCAAAAGGACACAGACACAGTAATGGTTCTTGGTTATTTTGAGTTGGACATACTAAACTACGGTTCAGAGAGCGAGTGAGCAATCTGAGTAGATTCAATGAGGAAGTTGCCAGTTAAATCCTAAAAAAATCCTTCTACCCTGGAAAACAAAATTTGAACTGTGCAAACTATCTTGTGAATGCACCACAAATAAAGTTACAGTTTGACAGGGGTCAAGAACTGTCCAACCATACTTCAATCTACGGTCGTCTGTCTCCTCACACTGTATGATGAAATACTAACACACATGGTTTCTTTTAAGTAGTGGTTTGTGTGTTACAGCAGGAAAAGGGAGGGGAAAGACAGAAAGATGAGATGACCGAACACTTAATCAAAGTGTGTGTGCATTGACAGCATCAAAAGTCATTATTGAAAGCAGCTTCATGGGTGTTACTATCCCACACATTTCTGAATCAATTTTGATCTTTTTGATTTATATGAATCAAGACTCAAAAGATTGTTTCTGAGAGTTTCTGTACAAATAACTACTTAATAACATTGTGCATGTAAAGACAAAAAAGGACAAATCTTAGATCACACAACAATGCTATCCTAATTTAAGCATATACACAAACAATGCTCAAATGTAATGATGCTTTTGCACTGCACCAGATTTTTTTTCAACACTTAAAACGAGAAAGAAGTTTCGTTTTTGCATAATGATAAAAACGTGTGTGGCAAGGACTTCCTGTTTACTGAGGACAGGAAGATGGTGTAGGAGTGCTGTGAGGTGTAAGACTATACTTTGATTCATCTGCCTCAATCACCATGTGACACAACATACACAACATGCTTCTCAGATAGAAAAAAATCATCTGAAATCAAGTCTGAAATTAGTATTCTTCATAACATGAAGTAACAGTAGTCAGTCATCACAGATAAAGAGCTCAATGGTATCGCAATATAACTGAAATTTGGAATCAGTGTGTGATAGAGTAAAGAAAAGAAAAATAAATGAAATGAATAAAATAATTAAATTAAAATGAAATAAATTATATTAAATAAAATAAAATGAAAAGAAAGAAACGAAAAGAACTCCCAAAATAACCCAAATAAAATAAAAAACATTATAAGTTAAAACAGAAAAAAGGACTCTGAAATGTGCAAAAGAAGAGAAAAGAGAAAAGCAAAAAAGATTAAAAAAATTTGAAGAAATAAAATAAGGATAAAAGAAAAAAAGAGATAAGAAAAAAGAAAATGACTTAAAAAATAGTCCAAAGATAAACATATTCTGGTATTTTTTTTAAACTTACAACCGGTTGATGTTGTCCTGGTACATTAAGCCGCTCTGCAGCAGTATTTGTATTCCATTTGGTGTAGACAGGCATTCTGTGGAGGTGCTTAAAGCAGTCGCCAAACCACCTAAAGTCATCCTTTATGTCGGACAGAGGTGAGGAAACCCTCACTGAAGCTTTCCCATCCTTTTACCACATGCTGAAGAAACAATTAAAACACATGGGCAACTCCTCAAGTTCCTCCGAGCAACAGAGCGACTGATTGAATCAAAGCAAATGTATTCAGAGCAAATTCAGTGGTAACTCATCATTAAAAACTACATCATGTATTAGCTAGTGTTGTTTTGTGTAGACTCTCACAGTTCGGATCTCTGGTGTATCCATCTGCTCTGCGATACAGGCAGACACTGAGATGGTGGGCGGAGTCAGAACACACGTGCTCTGGTGGACACCAGACTCCTTATCAACCCACAGAGTAAACACAAATGAACTGGATATAGAGCTTTCGGTAAATTGATTCTAATACAACAGAAACTGAAAAAAATATTTTCAATATTTGCATGATAAAGTCTTTGAAAGTCATTTAAAGTATTATAAAGTAATAATAAGCTGCAAAATGACTATTAAGTAGTCTAATATAATCGTTATAGTGGTTGATACGACCGGCAATAAACCTAAAATGAGCTGAAGAAATCATAAAATCTGCAGTCTGTCTCTATGCAGTCTAAGCTGCATTTGAAATATAGTCTAAATAAATACATGAGACTAGGGACCATGTAATGTAATTATCTCAAACAACAAAGTGTATTTGATGTGATCAAAACACTGAATGATAATAGTCTCACACTACATGAGCTCTACACACTGAAACATAGTTATACAATGGGGGGAATCTACAAATAAATGTGAGGAAATTGCAGTAAGTGCTTTTAAACAAACTATTAGCTCTATACGAGTGTTTGTTTGATCAAGGCTGTCCTATTTTCAGGTAACAGAGGAAAGATGATGGAATTTCCCTTGGTAACGATAGCACTCATGGGAGCCCTTTGTAGGGGGACAGGATATGTTTTTTTTCCCATGGGTCGCACTTGCGCTTTGTACTACCCAGTTTTCCCTGTTGTGACTGACTAAGCTACTGAAATCCTAAACCAAAGGTGAAACACAAGGCCTGTGTAGCATTTAGGTTGACGGTCATGTGACAATGTGCTATGGCAATGTATTTAAACCAGTACCGGTTGCTATGGTCATCAAAATACAAATACTGCTTTTCGCAGTGAAACTTGTATAAACAATAAAAAATTACTAGCAGAGCATTATTTATTGTCAATTCAAAAACAAAATTGTACTGCTCTGAATTTTGATCACAAAATAATGTAGTTTTGTTTTGTGCAAACCTTGGATGGAAATTAACAGGGACTTGATTTAAAAATGGCATCAAAATTACCAAAAATAAACAAATTCAAGATAAAGGGGAAAAATACCTCTGCACAATAAACAAAATCTATTACGGCTGTCGAGATTAAAATAAAATGTGAGAAAGAATGAGAAATGTTGATTGCACCATTGCATTTAGATCTACTCGCGCTGCATCAGATTTCTTTTTACGTGTTTTGCAGGGTTGAGCGTTTTAACTAACTAACCTCTCTCCGAGATGTTTGGATGAGTCACCGCTGTAAACAACTGACTGAATTCTGCACTTCTGTGAATTCTCTAATAAACAACAAAGTACAGATCGGATATAAGTAAGAGATTTATGAAGTGACATTGCCAACTAATTACAATATCATGAGCAATATCATTTGTCATGTAGATACACGTATGCCACCTTTGTTAATGTAAGTTCATTTTCAGTTCATTTCTGACCCTAATACAAACTCACAGTGACAAAATGCAAATCTAAGTACATACGCTTTTATATTGACTGGCAGGATCTCTCTTTATCTGCAGAGTATAATCAATAGGACCAAGCAGATCAAGGTCTCAGACATAATTTACAAGGGGTTTTATGAACTGGATTCATTAGGTCATGGCTCACGTGGGTGAATGGAAAATGAGGATGAATCTGATATGATCTCAGAGAGCCTTCCTGACAGTCATAATAGTTATCCAGGAAAGAGTGGCCATGTAGAGCAACTGGGATATTGTTTGTCAAAACACCTAACAGTTAGTTAATTTGGTGTAGGGGTGGTAAAATCTAATTTAAAACAAAAAAAATCAGCTGTACTAGTCTGTGAGTTCAATTGAATGAATTGTCAACTAAGTGGTCTCGAGGTAGTCCTTAATAATTTGCTGGTTTTAGGTTCATATCAGACATACTTAGGTGTTCACACAGTATGTGTTCTTATGTTTAAAGAAAATTATTCACAATTTAATGTATGTTGCAAGACATTGCAACACCTGAGATGACTGCTTGCATGCATGGCCTTAGCTGTGATGTTTTTAAAGGGGATGACTTTTCAGAGAGGGATTTATTAAGCAAAAACAACAAACTAGTCAACTTTACTATTATAGCCCTTGCCTAATTTAATCAGGTTGATTCTTTATCGCAGAAGTGGCCAAAATATTTCTTACGAGGGGCCAAAAATGTAACTTGATTCAAGGCCATGGGCCAAAAGTAAATGTTGCATTCTTTTCAATTATATTATATTAAAATGTATTGAATTTTTACATTTTTAAATAATTAAACAAAACAATCTTTAATTTTATAATCAAATTCATATATCTTGATATAACATATAATGTTATATGTATTCATGATATATATATATATAAGTGCATTTATTTCTTGTCTCATTAGTGTTTGGCGCAGTTGTCGTTGCTAGGAAACGCTTGTTTGTTTACTGTGTTGAGACCTGCTGAAGTTGCATTTGGTCTCGTACTCTATCGCATACCTTGTTAGTGTCATGCGCTTGCTTAGACCTTTGTTGTGATAAACAGTAGAGTGTGTTCAGCTGAATTAAATTTCCGTTTTGTCCGATGGGTATAAAAAAGGTTAGTATACCGCGGCAGCCCTCCTCGTGTGAAGACCGAAGAGTGTAAAGACCATCGACTCTACCGTGCAGGGACACCGGTAAGGGATATAAGTATCGCTTCTGATTCATCCTTTTTCCTACAACTTGTTTCGCTTCTGTTTCAGTTTTTATAACCAATACTTACTATGTGTTTCCAGATCCCTCCTATCACTACCACTCTCAAACCACGTTTCACACACTATAGGCAGCGCAATCCTAACAACCTCCACACTTTGCCTATGTCTGCTAATACACTACGTTCTTTTTCTAATGTCTCTGGAATTGCCAGTCTGCTGTAAACAAAGCCGATTTCATTACTTCTATTATTAGTCATTCGAAGCTAAATCTCATGGCCCCGACAGAGACCTGGATCAAACCAGAGGACACTGCTACACATGCAGCACTCTCCAATAATTTCTCATTTTCCCACTCCCCCCGTTTGGCTGGAAGAGGTGGAGGTACTGGCCTGCTTATCTCTAATGATTGGAAATTTAATCCTTTACCATCTTTGGGTATCAACAGCTCCTTTGAATCTCATTCAGTTACTATTACCTACCCTCTTCAAATCCATTTTGTAGTTGTTTATCGACCCCCTGGACCACTAGGTAACTTCTTGGATGAATTAGATGTGCTGCTCTCAACCTTTCCTGAGGATGGTACTCCCCTAGTTATGCTTGGAGACTTCAACATCCACCTAGATAAACCTCAGGGTGCAGACTTCCACACTCAGCTTGCCTCTTTTGATCTCAACCGAGTGTCAACTACTGCTACTCACAAATCAGGCAACCAACAGGACCTTATTTACACACGACACTGCTCCACTGATCATGTACTGGTTACTCCACTATACACCTCGGACCACTTGCTCCTCACTCTTAACCTCAACATGGTTCCTGACACAACACATACCCCTCCACATGTCATCTTTCGACATAACCTACGCTCACTCTCAATCTATCTGCTATGGTTTCATCTTCGCTTTCTTCCCCTAAACTGTTAGCATCTTTTGATGCTAACAGACAGTGCTACTGATACTTTCTGCTCCACTCTTACATCTTGTTTAGACACTGTCTGCCGCTTGTCTTCCAGACCAGCCCATAACACCCCTTTGCCCCTTGGTTATCTGATGTTCTCTGCGAACATCGTTCTAAGCTCAGGGCTGCTGAACGGGTGTGGCGTAAATCCAAAAATCCTACTGACCTTAACGTATATCAGTCACTCCTCTCTTCCTTCTTTGCTAATGTCTCCACTGCTAAAAGGACATACTACCTTAACAAATTTAACAATTTGTTTAACTCTCACATGCGCTTTAAAACATTTTCATCTCTCCTTTGTCCTCCTCCTCCCTCTTTTGCATCAACTCTAAAAGCCGGTGATTTTGCCACGTTTTTCATTAATAAAATTAAAAACATCAGTGCACAATTTCCACACCACAATCTGTCAAGCACATTTTACCAGCAAACATACACTCATTCACATCCTTCTCTTCACTCTCTGAGGCAGAAGTCTCCAAACTCATCCTTTCTAATCATCCTACTACTTGTCCACTTGATCCTATTCCATCTCATCTCCTTCAAGCCATTTCTCCTGTAGTTGTACCTGCACTCACTCACATCATTAACATATCCCCACACAATGGTGTTTTTCCTTCAACATTTAGACAGGCTCGTATAACCCCACTACATAAGAAAGCCACCCTTAACAGGGCTCTACAGTGCGACCATTTCAGTCGCATTTGCGACTGGAAGCTACTGCGTGCGACTATGAAATAATATTTAGGAGCACCTGTGCGACTGACCCGATCAGCATATTTGTGTTTGCGCTGAGGAAGCTTCAAAGGTTCTAATATACGTACGCGCTGAGTAATGTATCACAGACATATCCTCTCATTATAACAAACACAGTGTTGACGGGGTGTAAATAAGATATTCATTGTGCAGTGTAGAGAGCTTCGTCGATTATAATGGAGTTTTGTGAGATCGGGATAAACTAAGATGAGTGACAGCTTTTAATGATTATTAAGGGAGTTTGCAAATGTGATATTGATTTAATACAACAGTTCATTAAACAAAAGTTAATATTCATTAAACAAAAGTTAATATTAAGTGACTTATATTGTATGACAACAACACAATTGCCTTATTTCGCTCTATTTCATCAACGAAAATAGTTTTTTTTTAAAGTAACAGCTGAGCCGCTGCGCATCGCCATTCAAACACAGCGGTGATTCGTTTATGAATTAACTGCGTGTTTAAACGATTCTAGCGAGTCAATGATTCAATTACCCATTCATAAAGACAGTCACGTACTTCGTTCCTGAATGATTCAGTTGTTCGAACGAATCAATTAAA